TCTCACCCAGGCTGGAGTGCAGTGGCACGATCTTAGCTCACTGCAATCTGTGCCTCCTGGGTTTAAGCGATTCTCCTACCTCAGCCTCCTGAGTAGCTAGGATTACAGGCACTGAACACCACGCCCTGCTAATTTTTGAACTTTTAGTAGAGACGAAAGTATTCTACTACTTTTAGTAGTAGAGTACTTTCACTGTGTTGGTCAGGCTGGTCTCAAACTCCTAACCTCAGGTGATCTGCCTACCTCAGCCTCCCAAAGTGCTGGGATTACAGGCGTGAGCCACCGCACCCAGCTTCCGGAACCACACTTTCATAAGCCACATTCTGTGGTTAAGGCATGCACCCCCACCCCTCCACTGGAGAACCTTGCCTGGGCTCTGTAGCAAGGCCACAGCTCTGCCCACCACCTGGATTTGCTTGATAAAGCGCCACTGGATCCTAGCCACGGCCATCTGTCACCCTGTCATCTGTGGCTGACTCTGCCTTCACCACAGCACATGTGGCTGGAAGACGGTGCTGGGGTCTGAAAGGTTCTAAGGAGACTGGGCAGGCAAGGCTCACTGCACACCCCCCCCAAGCCACCACAAGGGGATGCAGTGCCAGAAGCCATGGGGAGGGTCTGCCCATGAAAGCAGCCCAGGAGGCCATGTCGCCCTAGCCTTGGGAGTACTGGTTGCCTTAATCAATGGCCCTCACCTGAGCCTCAGGCTCCGCAGGAGGTAGGCAGAGGGGAGCGCCTGCTGTGACCCCGGCTTCTCCAGACCCTACCCTTTGCTCCTGGGCATCTACACCTCGCAGCCTGCTCAAGGTAACCAGCCTGATGCCATCCCGGCTTCATGCACGTCCTGAGCTCAGGACAGAGGTGGCAAAACACTGGCCCAGGCGTCTCGCCTCATTCAGAAGGCTGACAGAAGGGCCAGGAGAGTCAGGGGTCCCAGGAGGCCAGGTTGAGCTGAGAAGCAGCAAGCTGTGGTGGGAAGGGCAATGTTGGGAGAGGCCCCCGAGGCCAGGTGAGTCCCCGTGGGCACTCACGCCCCCTAGCCTCAGCCTGTTCAGAGCTGGCAGGTACCAACACAGAGCTGTCAACTGCGGGGTAACACTCCCCACAAGACAACTGAGCAAGTACATCTTCTGCTGGGGTGTCTTCATTTATGTTTTATAAACCCACGTGGCGGACCCAGCTTCTCCCTTAAGTCAACCACAACAAGGGAATTCGGGTTTCACAGAGAACCTTGGCATGGACCACCCCGCGGACAGAAGCCAGGTGGCGAGGGCCCGCCACGTGCAGGGAGCCCCGGCAAGGAGGAAGAGGCTGACCTTCAAAGACAGGCTGGCTCCCCAGGAGGCTGGTGTAAGCGTGAGTGTCTTTTTCTACGGCAAGAAGGTGGGCAGGCAGTGGAGAGAAGGAGCAACCAAGAGCCGGTGAGAGAACAGAAAGCAACACGGGTTACGGCACGTGCACCTGTCAGCACAGTTTGCAGATAACGGAATGCGAGCTCCCCGTCAGCGGAGTTTAGTGGAGAGGCCCAGGCTGGGCTAGATGCTCTAGCAGCTCACCAGGAAACGCACCAGGGGTTTAGTCTGCACAGACGCCCGCGGGCGGAGGGCTGAGGTGCTGGCTCCCGATGAGCCACCACTCAGACCTTTTTGGGAATCTCAGTTACTGCATTTGGGGCTTTATTTATCCTTAGTTTGAGTCCAACAATAAACGGACTGATACATTAGCACACTTAGAGCGGAGGAAGTCACTACGACACGCTGAGGCAAATTTCCCTTTGTGGTCTTATACTTAAGTCCCGACTCACCTGGCGAGTTCTGAAGCCAGTGAGTAAACACACGCCCTCCCCGCAGAGGAAAGGTAGGCTGTCCTGGACACCCAGCCGACCCCGCTCCTCAGGGCGGCTGCCTGATCCCAAAAGTGCACGCTCCTCTTGTCACCCACGTGTGGCACCAAACCCTCCTGGCTTAGGAAAGGACGTGCCGGCATTTACCTCCAGGAGGGAAGCCTTCCGTGAGGATCTGCACGGTGGAAATGTGCGCAATTTCGATTTCATAGTGGCTGTCTCCATCCAGAAACAAGTATCTACATCAAATAAAAGCGTCCAAATCGGGTCACTCAGCCTCAGGTCAGTGCGACCAAGGCTCCCAGTCTGTGACAACGCTGCCCTGTGCCCACAAGGGTCTGGCTCTTACCTCTGGTTATTGGAAAGACGACAAATCATAGTTTCAGATTTCTCTGAGTTTCCAAAAGTGACGAGGAAGGTGGCTCCTTGGGACACAAAAGCAAACGTGAGAACAGGGCCTGCTTATTTTCCACCTAACCCTTCCCACGAGTGCCAGTCGGAGACACACGTACAGAGGACAGAGTGGAAACAGCAGGAAACAAACCACAGCTTTGTTCCAAGGACCCCTTCAGCTGAGCAAAAAGGCAGTCACAGATCAAGGGTTTAAGAGGTAAAACAAAAGGTACTGCTCGAGACAGGTCCTGCTCACTTATAAAGCTCCTACATCCTTCAAAGAAAGGACGCAGGGAATTCATCGCCAAGGCCCAGATCAAAGAACAGTAAACCCCTCTGCTCACACGTCCTAAGAGCTGGCAGGACAGGACCAAGACAGCAGAAAGGAAAGAAAACCCGACCGTCCAGCCAGGGACCACGCCCGTTTCACCCAGGACAGAGCTGTGGGGAGGCAGACAGGTGGTCCTAGGCCCACAGTGGGCAGGCTGAGGACAGGAGGCCAGAGGCCGGGACGGCAGTGGCCAGAGGTGGCAGGCAGTGGGGAGGTGCTGCTGCTTGTTGCTCAGAGATTCCAGGGGAGGAACACCCTAAGCCGCTGGAGGACGTCCTCCTCCCACACCAGGACCCTGGGTCTGCGTCGTGCTACTGGGCAAAGGTCTCCG